GAAATCCTTGACAACTTCAATCTTTTCTCCATTTATTGTGATGTTATTTATTGGCCCAATTGTGAGGATTTTTGTGTTTTTTATGTTGAGGCATAATCCATTCTAAAGGCAGTAGTCTCTGATCTTCCTCACTAAGTGCTTCAAGTCTTCACTTTTAGCAAGCAAGGTGTGTCATCTGCATATTGCAGGTTGTTAATGAATTGTCCTCCAATTCTGATGCCATGTTTGGTAAGTTTACTTTGTACTTATTTCTTCAAACTTGATATTATATTGTTTTCAGGATTTAATTATTGAATTTATTCCCTGGAAATATCATGTACTTGGACCTTGTGATTGCCTGTGTAATATGGAAGGAGGAATAGACAACTCCATAGTAATAGTAGAGGACTTCAACACATCCCTTTCAGTTATAGACAGAACATTTAAAAGATCACTAAGCACATTGAGAATTTAAATAAAACCATAAGCCAATTGCATCAAACATATATATATGTATATAGAACACTCCACCCAGAATCAGAACGATACACATATTTCTGCAGCACACATGGATCATTTTCCACACAGTTTTTTAAGATATCTCTCACTTAGTTTTTGTTTATTTTTTTCCTTGTGTATAGATACTAGTATTTATTTAATGCTCTTGCCTTTCCAGTACTCCTTTGAGTAATACATTCAGAGCTGGTTGGTAGTGGCAGATTCCCAGAGCTTCTGTTTGTTTGGGAATGTCTTGATTTTTCCCTCAGTTTTGAATGATATCATTGCTGGGTAAAGAATTCTTGGTTGGCAATTGTTTTCATTCAGTATTTTATATATGTCACTCTCTTGTCTTCTGGCCTCAACAGTTTCTGGGGAGAAATATGCACTTATTCTTTTTATTTTATTTTTTTATTTTAAGAGCTTGTTTTACATTCAAAGTCACGCGTACATTTAGTTTCATTCCCCATTCGCCATGTCCAACCCCAGCCCAGCCTCCTCCCCTCCCTACCCTGCCACACTCCCCCTGTGCCCCTCATAATCCTTTTTGTCCTGCTTGTCCTCAGTTTGAATGTTGATCCTTTGGTGTCCCATGGTTGATTGCTCTAGGGGATGCATTACCATTGAGTGTGTGGGTGCAGCACCCTGGGTTGAGTGGTCTGTGTGTACATCTCGCTAACCATTGGGCTGAGAGCCTGCCCCTGGGGATGAGTTTTATTCCAGGCGCTGAATGTATTTCAGGGCCATAGTATTGGGAGTCTCACCAGACTTCATCTGACCAGTAATTCTGGTCATTATTGAGTTTTTGGATTTTGTTCCATGTTTTCCCTCTCACTCTATCCAGGATCTCCAGATTTGATCCTTTCCTGAGTGGTTGGCATTGGTAGCCGGGCACCATTCGGTTCTTCTTGTCTCGAAGGCTATCAAATATGCACTTATTCTTATGACAGCCTCTTGGTATGTTATATTGCATTTTTCTTTTATTGCTTCTAGAATTCTTTCCTTGTCTTTGGTTTTCAAGAATTTTATTAAGTTATAATGTGGAGTTGATCTTTTTGTGTCTCTATTAGTTCATGTAGCTTCCTGTATTTGTGGGCTAAGTTCTCTGTTCAGATCTGGGAAATTCTCACTGATTATCTCTTGGAAAATATGTTTCTATGCCTTTATTATTGACTCGGTGCTCTGTGATTCTAATAATTCTAATGTTTGGATTTCATAGTTTAAAAATCCCATGTTTCCTTTTGGGTTTGTTTGCTTTTCTTTGTTCTTTTCTCTTGAGACTTGATAAGATCAGTTGTTTTGTCTTTTACTTCATTTATTCTATCTTCTATCTGTTTGACTCTACTGTTAAGTGTTCTCTTGCTTTTTCTAATTCAGTTGCTTTATCCTAAGTTCCAGTAGTTCTTGCTTTTTTTATATGTATATTTTAAATTTCCTTTTTGAATCTTTCATTTTCTTCCTCTATTTGTTTCCTGTCGCTGCTAGTTTCTTTTTTTCTGTGTGCTTTTTGCTTTCCTTAAACATATTTGCGAACATAGTCTGAAAATTATCGATTCTTTGTATTATTCTGGCATCCGTAGGAGAAATTTCTTCTTCTTCAGGTTTTACTTTTGACTGGTCATTCTTCTCTTGTGATTTTGTATGTTTTACTATTTTTTTTTATTTGGGCCATTTTATTATCTTTGTGTTTTTAATTTAAACTTTGTATTCTGTTTTCTGTGAGAAAGTTTTCTGATTGAATATCCTGGTGGCACGGTGGCCAAATGCCTGACTGACAGCCGAAAGGCCAGAGATTGCACCTGCCAGCTGCTCTGTGGGAAGAAGATGTGGCAGCCCACCTCTGCAAAGATTCACAACCCTGGAAATCCCATGGGGTAGCTCCACTGCACCACACAGGGTTACTTCAAGTCAGAATCAACTCATGGTATTTGGCTTGGTGTCTTCCAAGAACCACTAGAGGACATTGTTATCCTTAGGTGTTTTTCAGTGCTGATTCAGTCCTAGATGCTTGATGTCTGGAATTTAAAATGTGTGCATAGGAAAGGGGATGTTTAGCTGGTCACAGACTTTGATGTAAGTGGTGAGGCTCAACTTGGGTGAAAGTGGGGGCCTCTCTATGTTTTTCTCTCATGGGCGCCCCTTCAAAAATTTTCTTACGGTGTCCAACAGGGCAGGGAGCTGGTTGTTTCCCTCTGCATCACTGTCTATTTCAAGTATTCCCCTTGCTCTGCTGCCGTTGCAGTCCCTCCCAGTCCTAGTGCCAGTCCATCTTGGGCCTAAGTGAGATTCAGTAGCACTCTCTCACAGAATCATGGTCATCTCTTTTTGCTCTCTCCCAATTGTGTGGCCTCTGAATTACTATGGCCAGTCTGTGCTGCCTTAAAAAATTGGGCTACATCTTCCTCAGATTAGCTAGTTTCTTAGAAGTAGATTGCCAGGCCTTTCTTCTGAGGAGCTGCTGAGTGGAGTCAAATCTTCAGTCTTCCAGTTAGCAGTTAAGCCTGTTAATCACCCAGAACTGTTTTTTTTTTTTTTTTTTAAATGAAAATATGCACAGTAGAACATAGACCCATGAATTTCTACACGTACATTTCTACATGACATTGGTTACATTCTTGATGTTGTGACACCATTCTCACTACTTCTGCCCCCGTTTTTCACCAACATTAACTTAGGTTTACTACCCTCTAAGCTTGTTATCTATGCTTTAGAGTTACTGTTATTAATTCTATCTCATATAAATAATTCTTTAAAGGAGTGTATTGCTCAAGGTGATTTCTTTTCTTCTTCAGGAGATAACATCAGTTCAAGGTTTAAAGTTTTCTCAGGACTTTAGGTGCAGGAGGCCCTCAGTCTCAGTAAATCCATAAGTGTGGCTTCTGTAAGAATTTGGAATTCTGTTTTACTTTTTTTCCCCATTTGATCAAGATTCATCTGTTGAGCCCTTGATCAAATCATTCAGAAATGGTAGCTGAGCACCATCCAGTTCTGGTCCCATGACAAAGGAGGCCATAGTTCATGGAGGAGATTACAACTGTAGTTTAGTTCCTTCTCTGATTTTTGAATTTTCTTCCTTTGCTGTTCCAGGTGAATAGTGGTTAATTGTTTTATTTTAGATGGCTGTTAACAAGCTTTTAAGAACCCCGGCACAACTCATTAAACTATATGGAGAAGAGAAACTTTAAAAATATATTAGGCCAGTTAACTGAACAGTCCTCAGGAACTCTGTTTGATTACCTATAGGATAAAGTCCACATTCCCTCAAAGATGCATGACAGTTGGGTGCCCATCTCTGCATCTTCAACTTCATCTCAGCTCATTTGCCCCTCTCCCTAATTGGAGCTTCTGCCACAAGAAGGGTTCTGCCACCTCTGAACATGCTCACCTCTTCACCATTGCTTGTTTTTCTCCTTGGAGTCCTCCTCCTTCTAGTGGAAAATTTCTCATTCTTCACACTCAGTTCAGATGTTACCTCCTCCAGGTGTATGTAGCTGGGTCCTTCTCTGTGCTCCTGCATCTCTTCCTAGCATCTGATGATGTGTTCATCTTCCTGACTCAGATGCAAATTCTCAGAGCCAATGAAATATCTAGAACTTGGTACAGAGCCTTGTACATAATAGGTGGTGAAAGAATGCCTGTTTCCTCCACAGTACCTGTGAGACTAAAGACCCTTCCAATGTGTTTCTGGCCTTTTCCTACCCCTGGAGTCATTTTGTGCCTACTCATGCCCAAGTTCTTTGTCTCTCACATTCAGCCCACAGAGCTTCACTTTCCTTTCAGAGTGTCTGTTGCCTAATCCTCACCTCTCCTGGAGAGCTTGTGGCCCTCTACTGTACCAGGAAGGAGGATTCAATTCTTCTTTGCCTCCCCTGACTGTCTGTGAGACTCCCATTAATCCTCTTGAGTGGTATTTCTCAAAGTGAGGTTCTGAATTGCCTGCTTGCTTGGTTGCTTGTTTGAAATACAATTTCTTGGGCCACACCCCAAATCTACTGAATGAGAATTCCTGAGCCCAGAGCTAGGAATCTGCATTTCAAGCCTCTAGTTGATTCTAGGAGACTCTAAAGTTTTGGCTTGTTCTAGAGCACGGTACATCCACTCCTGTTCAGAAGGAACACTAAATGTCTCAGACATTTACCAAAGTGGGTAATCTTAAATAAACTTGGGGCATACTGCAGAGCAACTCCCCTTCTGGAAATCACAGGAAAATTAGCATATTATGGTATGAAGAAGTCTCCAAAAAACTGATTTCCACAGATAGGGCCTTTATTTTCTCTCCATAAACATAAGCATTCTGGCAGTTTCCCCTTAACACTCATTTCCCTTACTACCTTAGAGCACCTTATTTCCTGCTTTTATTTTAAGTGAGGTGGCATCTATTATGTGTGTAGCTGTGCCTGGCACTTAATGGTGCTTGGTCCCGAATGGTTTCTGCTCCTGCTTTATTCCCTGCCCTGTCTGTGACCCCTTTTGCTTTCCTCCATGGGTCTCTGACAGCTCCTCTTTTCCTTGTTGCCCTGCAGGGGGTGTCCTCTATGCTGCCACTGTGAAAAACTACCTGGGGACGGAGCCGATTATCTCCCGGGCTGTGGGTCATAATGAGGACTGGATTCGGACAGAGACCTCACCATCCTGGCTTAACGGTGGGGCCAGAGGGAGGGTTACTATGGGGGGCAGGAAGGGTGGAGGCTGGGTGGCCCCAGGAAGTATCTGTGAGGAACTGAGGCCCTGGATCTCCCCAGCCCCAGCCTTTGTCGCAGCCATGGTCTTGAGCCCAGCGGAGTGGGGGGATGAAGATGGAGACGACGAAATCTACTTCTTCTTTACGGAGACGTCTCGGGCATTTGACTCATATGAGCGCATTAAGGTCCCACGGGTGGCCCGCGTGTGTGCGGTGAGATCCCAGTCCCAGCTGTCTGCTTCTGCTGTGACTGTCCTCTTTTATTTTCCTCTCTGGGTGTCTGTCTTTGCATCTCTCCTCTGTCTTTTTTTTTTTTTTTTCCCTCTGCCTTTTCTTCTTTGCTCCACAACATACTGTCTGTGTGACTCAGGGCATGTTCTTAGACATATTTGAACCTAATCTGTAAAATGAACATACTAATCATACCTATCTACGAGGGTTGAAGACTAAATGAGGTAATTCTTGTAAAATACACAGCACAGTACTCCATAAGTGGACAGTAACTTAGTCACCAACCTTTTATTGTGGTCCCTTTCATCTTGACACTGAACCTATGTGTCTCATTATCTTACACAATTACTCAGTATTTCTGTTCTTGCATTTCTATGTGTTTGTCTCCCTATCTGTCTGTGTCTGTCCTGAAGTCAGGGAGGAAACTTGTGTTGGTCTCTACACTTCTCCACAATGTTAGTCTTCTAAAGAGAACTTCCCATGTGCTTGTCACTCTAGGGGGACCTTGGGGGCCGGAAGACCCTCCAACAGAGGTGGACAACGTTTCTGAAGGCTGACCTCCTGTGTCCGGGGCCTGAGCATGGCCGGGCCTCCAGTGTCCTGCAGGATATGGCCATCCTGCGACCGGAGCATGGAGCAAGGACTCCCATCTTTTATGGCATCTTTTCCTCCCAGTGGTGAGGGGGTCCTGGTGTGGAGGAGAGTTATAGGGTGGGAGATACGTGGGATTGATGCATTGTCAGTGCTGTCTCTCCAGAGAGGGAGAACTCTCCCTCCCACGATGGCATGGTTCCTTGTGCATTTCTCATGGATTATCTCATTTGACAAAGGATGAGTTGTTTTCCCCTAGCTCCCTCCAAATATTTGACTCTAACTGTGATTCTTCCAGGGAAGGAGCTGCCATCTCTGCTGTCTGTGCCTTCAGACCACAAGACATTCGGACAGCGCTGAATGGTCCCTTCAGAGAGCTGAAACATGACTGCAACAGGGGACTGCCTGTCTTGGACATTGATGTGCCCCAGCCAAGACCTGGAGAGGTAAGAGTGCTGGGTGAGCTCTTTATCCCCAGGCCTGAAATATAGAGCTTCCATGAGGGTAAGAGCCCACCTAAGCATCACTGACACCTCCTGGCACTTGGAAGCTCTGTTAGCCACCCTTGTGTTTCCTCTAGTGTATCACCAACAACATGAAGCTCCAGCGGTTTGGCTCGTCTCTCTCCCTGCCTGACCGTGTGCTCACCTTCGTCCGGGACCACCCACTCATGGACAGGCCGGTGTTTCCAGCTGATGGCCACCCCCTGCTTGTCACTACAGATACAGTGTATCTCAGAATTGTGGCACACACGGTGACTAGCCTTTCAGGGAAAGACTATGACGTGCTCTACCTGGGGACAGGTATATTTAATAGTCCAGCAGTTGCATACCCAGTGCAGACATAATCTTGTCAGGTGTCAGCATCTCATACACAGATGTAGAGCTGTCATTATGTCCTGCCCCTTGCCTGCCTCCTAGAGGATGGACATCTCCACCGAGCAGTGCAGATTGGAGCCCAACTCAGCGTCCTCGAGGATCTGACCTTATTCTCAGAGCCACAGCCAATTGAGAACATGAAATTGTATCAAGTGAGTTGTAGATTTTGGGGGGTCTGGTAGGGAGATATTTGAGTCCAGATGTCTGAGTCCAGTTTGTGACCCTGAGGTGTGGCAGATTGAGTGTATTCTTACCTGTTCCCTTTCTCTAGGAGTGGCTCTTGGTTGGCTCCCGTACTGAGGTGACACAAGTAAATACAACAAACTGTGGCCGTCTCCAGAGCTGCTCAGAGTGCATCCTGGCTCAAGACCCTGTCTGTGCTTGGAGCTTCCGGCTAGGAGCTTGTGTGCCCCATACTGAGGAGCATGGAGGGTGAGTGTAGCCACATTGGTCTCTTGCCTGCTGTCCTGGGGCTCTGCTCCACCCCCATGTTTGTGTCTGTTTCTCATCAATCTGTTAATGTTGGCCTGTTTTTCTTTTTTTTCCCTTTTATCTGTCTGTGTCACTTGTGTGTCCATCTGTCAATTCATACTAACTCATCTGTCTGCCCATCTTGTGCCACACATCAATGTTCTTGCCTCTCTGCTGGATCTGCTCTGATTGTGTGCTTGACCTCCATCTTGCCAACTCTAGCGGGCACTTTTCACTTCTCATCTTATAAGAACTCTCAGAAGTTTTTCACAGCTGACCATAACTTTTTCCTTGAAACACTCTTTCCTCTTGCTTTCTGTTAATTCTGTATTCTGGTTTTCCTCTCTACTTCACTAGCCTGTCTCCCTTACTGACTCCTTTTCCATGCAACTTACGATTGTTGATGTTCCTCAAGGGACAATCCTGGACTCCCTTTACATTTTCACATTCTCTCTAGGTGATTTCATTCCCGCTTTCAATGTGATCTGACTGTTCATGGCAACCACAAATGTATCTCTTACTGAGCTACAGAATTCTCTACCCAACTATCTACTTAATATTCCCCTTGGATGCTTCATAAGCAATGTAAACTTAGCAAGTCTAGGTTTACATTGTTATTTCCTCTTTTCCTCAGATGCTCCTCCTCTGGTTTTCCTTATCTCAATAAAGGACCCTCCATTCATCCAGTGGCTCCAACCATATATCAGCCACATTATATTGCAGCTTATATTGATTCTAGCTCCAAAACATATCCTCAGCCCACCCTCTTCTCTCCATCTCTGCCCTGCCACCACTCTAGTTCAAGAGACATTGCTTCTAATTAGACTTTCTAATAATCTCCTAACTCATCACCCCTTTGTTCAGTTTTGGCTCCTACTACCCACTTTCATCAGAAGATAGTTAAAAACTTTTGTCAGATTGTATCATGCCCCTTATTAAAAACAGATAGTTCTCCAGGGACCTTACCAAAATGATTTCCTGTTCATTTTCAAAAGTTGGACAAAAAAATATAGAATCCCATTCCTATTTTCTCCAGGAGGGTTCTTGGGGATGGATGGGTGACTAAAGATGAATGTCAGGAGGTCAATAATGAACTCTTCCCAGGAAGGGCTCAGGTTCTGTAGTCAGGCTCAAGCTGCCCACTGAGTGGTTTGCTCATTATCTATAAGTAACCCAACACTATTGAGACAATCCCAGACAACTCCTTCCTAGTTCTCACAGTAAAGGAAGGGAGTTGAGGGTGATTTTTACACTAAGAAGATCCAGTGTAATCTGAGTTAGCAGAAAATAGATAGGTTGATTTAAGACTGGTTTCCTGGACACATCAGATATATTGAGGGTCCTTTCCACATCATTTTCCCTCTGTTGCATGGCATTCCCTTTACACGTCTGATCCATTATACCATAAAGCCTCGTTTTTCATATAATTCTGGGGTTCAAAAAAGTACATCAGAAAATGCTTGTTTCCCCATATCTCTGACAAAATTGGGATGATTTATTTTACTTTTTCCCAGTCTTACAGGCAAAACTAGAATCTCCTTGTTATTTAAATTTTATTTAGTTGATTATTGGGCAGGCTATTTCTTTTTTCATTTAATGGTCATTTCTGTTTCTTTGATTGCGATTTGTCTGCTTGTGTCCTTTTTCTCTGCTGTATGAATGTTTTTAACCTGTTATTTCTGCACCATCAATGCCATCTTCATTGACTCTGCTCTTTATCTTTTATCTGTCCTGTGTATGCCACCCATATGTCTTTCTGTGTATTGTCTCTCAACTATTACAATGTTTGGCTTAATGTACATTGACTCTACATTGTCAGTATGTCTGTTTGATGGCTCAGCCCCATCTGAGCTGATCATCAGATCCTTTGCAGGTTGGGCCTGAATCTATCCACCCTTTACCTGCTAATGCCTCCTGGATGTAGAACTTTTAAAAGGGCTTAGACCTGTGGTTTTCAGTCTTGTTTGTATACTGGAATAACCTAAGGGGCTTTTAAAAACACTGATACCTTGATCCAACAACCCACATGTAATTGGTCTAGGATGCACCCTAGGTATCACTTTTTTTTTTTTTTTTAATTAAAAAAAACCTTCCCAAGTGATTCCAAAATGCAGCCAAGTTGAGACCTATTAATTTAAATGAGTCATTGGCTGAAAAAAAAGACTGTCCATATCAAGTGTTGATGGTGATGTAAAGCAACTGAAACATACATTGCTGGTAGGAATATAGAATTACTCTTCCATGTGGGAGACCCAGGTTCGATTCCTGGCCAATACACCTCATATGTAACCACTACCCCTCTGTCAGTGGAGGCTTATATGTTGCTGTGATGCTGAACAAGTTTCAGTGGAGCTTCTAGACTAAGACAGACAAGGAAGAAAGGCCTGGTAATCTCCTTCTGAACATCAGCCAATAAACACCCTATGTATTACATTAGTCCCATCCTCAGCCAATCATGGAGGCATGGAGGTGGTACAAAACTAGACAGTATTTCATTCCATTCTCCCTGAGGCTGACAACAGCTAACAACCGCCCCCCTACCATTTTGGAAAGCAGTTTTGCATTTATTTTATAATTGTGGTAAAATATATATAACAAAACATTTGCAGTTTTTTACTATTTCTATGCCACTCCTCGGAAGGAAGGTTGGGCAATCTACTTCCGAAGTGATACTGCCTCAGAAACCCAAGGAGTGGTCACTATGAGTTAGATCTGACTCCACGGCAGTGGGTTTTGGTTTTGTTTGGTTTATGTATACAGGTCAGTGACGTTAATTATGTGGCAATTTCTTAAACATAAAACATACATCTGTTATATGATTGTAAAACGGCAAGGGGGCCACATATTCTGACCTCCTAGAACCCCACAAGAGGAAGACAGGCTTACCAGCAGTAACCCAAGGCCTATTCCTGCCAGGCCAGACATGCTGCCTCCCTCCAGCCCTTTCTCCAACCGTTTCTCCCAAAGCACCCACCACCTCTCTCCTGGGTTCATACAGAACTCACAGATTACAGGGTTTATTAGGGAAGCACCAGGCTACAACTCAAGTTCAGGAAGAATGCTCAGTCTCTCTCCCAGCCCACCATCCCTCAGCCAACAGTCTCTCACAGTCTCTTTCTCAGCAGTGCTGGTCCCTCGGTGTCTCACTCAGCAATACGTGTCTCTTGCATCTCTTTCCTAGCAATGCGTGTCTCAGGAGCCCGTGTCTTTTTCAGCAGCACATCTTCTTCAGCCAGCAGTCAGAGAGAGTTTTGCCTCTAGGAGGCCTCCTTTTGAGCCCGGAAGGGTAGTCAAACTAGCCAATTATAGCATCAGAACTCTAAGCACCTGAGAGAGAGTGGGCACCTCCCAGAACATTGTTTTGTGCCACTCCCAACAGAAATACTCCAGGTGGACACCTTCAGCAATCAGGAGCTCCTCAGTTGCTCATAGCAAATCCTACCTTGGAGTTTACAAAGACTCATGGGTAGAAAAGCCACACAAAGTAATTTACTACACTGCAATGATCTAGCCATCCTACTCCTAGGTATTTCCAGAAGAAATGAAAGCTTGTGTCCATACAAAAGCTTGTATATGAACATTTGTAGCAGCTTAATTTATAATGGCCAAAGACAGTATACAACCCAAATTTTCATCAACAAGGGAATACAGTATATTCATACAGTGGAATACTACTGAACAGTAAAAAGGAAGGAACTACCAATACATGCCATCACCATGGTTGAATCTTAAAATGAAAGAAGCTAGACAAAAAGGACTTTATTCTGTATGATTCAATTTATATAAAATTCTAGAAAATGAAAATCTGTAGAGGCAGAAACCAGATCGCTAGAGGTGGGAAGAGGCATTTCAAGGTGACACAAGGAAACTTTTGAGAGTGATGAATATACTTATTATCCTGGTTGTGGTGGTGGTTTCATGGTATGGACATATGTCCAAACTTTTCAAATTGCATACTTTAAATGTGTACAGCTTATTTTGTATTAATAATATACCTCAATAAAGCTGTTAAAAAAAGATTGGACCTTCCTCCATACCCCCCCAAAAAAGGGACACAAAGATACTTTAAAAAGTTAAATTTCATAAATACACCAACTTAATTTACTAGTATATATATATTTTTTTCCACTTCTATTGATTAAGACAATTTCCTGAGGAAGAAATGTTGTTTTCCAGTTTCATTACACACTATGTTTTAATTACCTTTTAAACTTAAGGTATTTAATATGAAAGTTCCCAAATTTGTAATTTTACATTTCTAGAAAGATAAAACTCATGTATTAGATTTTATAAACAAGAGAAGAGGCAGAATAGTTTAATTCTCCTTTTCTCAACTTATCATATTGGGGCCAAGATCCAAAATGACATTTTCCCTTTGATTCAGATTAGCCTGAGAGAAACTGCGTGATGCTATATAGGGTTTCTGAGTGTTGCCAGTTCTTAGCAACTAAAGATTTAAGCTTTTCTTCTGGTGTGTAAAGCTATACCAGGAAACAAAATTTCTGGCTAGATACAGTTTAATTCGGAATAGCATCTTTGTTTTGCTTGTGAGAAGTTTATCTTGAAATTAATAAAGGTTTAAATTTTTAGATTCATAGTCAAAACCTATTTATAAATATTCATTTTTTTTTCAAGAAAAAGTAATTTTAAGCTTATTTAAGAAATACTTTAATCAATGGAAAAGTTTTATGGTTCTAATGAAGAATTTTTTTTATTTTTATTTTTAAAATTTTATTATACATAAAAACCCATATGCCATCTCAGCAATTTCAATGTAGAATTTTTAAATGTTTTCTTGTGGAAAATTTTAAATGTACTAAAATAAAGGGTATAGTATTTCAACCCTCTTATACACTCATTATATAGCTTCAACGGTTATTAACTTGTGGCCAACCTTGTTTCACCCATAAGCAGCCCCCTGGTCCCTTTGTATTATTTTGAAGCAAATCTCTAGTATCATACTCATCTTATATATTTCAATATGGATCTTTCCAAGATTAGGACTCTCTTAAAAACATTTTATTTTGGGAACTTTCAAGCATACTCAAAAGTAGAGAGAATAGTATACTTAATTCCCATGTGTCCATCACTAACCTTTAACATCCATTAACTCCTGGTCAATCTTGTTTCATCAATACCCTAACTCACTTCCAGCTATTTTGAAGCAAATCTTAAACATCACATCTGTTATGGATTGAATTTTGCCTCCCTAAAATTTGTGTTGTACTTCCTGTGGTTACACTCTCTTTGAGGATGGCTTGTTTTTGTTATGTTAATAAGACAGGATTAGTATAGGGTATATTTTGAGATATAAGAGAGATTAAAACAAGCAAGCTAAGAAGCAGAGATGTAGGAAGAGAGATGTCAAGCCACATGAAGGTTGTCCAGGCACCAAAGTTCAGAAGAGACAAGGACCGTCCTGTAGAGCTGACAGAGAGAGAAAGCCTTCCCCTAGAGCTAGCACCCTGAATTCAGACTTCCTGCCTCCTAAACTATGAGAAAGGAGCTCTGGTAGCATAGTGCCTAAGGCACTTGACTGCTAACCAGAAGGCTGGTGGTTCAAACCCACCGGCCACTCTTCGGAAGGAAGGTTGGGCAATCTACTTACATAGTGATATTGCCTCGGAAACCCAAGGAGGGGTCGCTAGGAGTCAGGTCCGACTTGAGGGCACATAACAACAACAACAACAAACTATGAGAAAGTAAATTTCTGTTTGTTAAAGCCACCCACTTGTGGAGTTTCTGTTACAGCAGTACTAGATAACTAATAACAACATCGTTTCATCGATAAATCTTTCTGGGTTAAAAACATAACCATATTTCCATTATTTCAAAACCTTAATAATTTTTAATGGCATCAAATATCCAGTCAGTGTTCCAATTTTCCCACTTGCATATACTTTTAAGAAAATCGTTTGTTTCAGTCAGGATCCAAAATAGTGTCCATCAATTATAATTGATTAACATGTTTCTTAAGTCCTCTCAATGAAGTATATTTAATTGATTGCTTGGAAAGTAGTTTTTCAAACACACCTTGGGATTTCCTATTTTGAACCCCAGTTAATTTAAAGGTTACACATGTTTTAGAAGTAAACTACTTGTCTTTGGAAATAAAACAAATTAATTCACACATGTTACAACAGAGTGAAAGTGTGTAAAATGATAATTGACACAGAGTAATGATAAAACTTAATTTTGTCTTTGTGACGTTTATTTTGGATTATAAGTGCCATCTTTTGCTCATTTGGCTTTTCACCAGTTGGGGATATAAGGTAGCAATTAGATGGCACATTTGGCCAGCTTCACATTTTTGGTTAAGAACTCTGACCTAATCTTCAAGTTTCTCCTGGGAGAACTTTTAAACATCTAGGTCAAAAACTAGTGTGTTATTGTTTTAATATCCATTAAAACAAGAATTCCATCAGGCTAGGGCATCCTGTGTTCTTAAGCTTCATTAGTACCCTTAAGATACATGTACAGGTGTGCCACTGCCCTGGGTTACCCTTCTGTACACTCCATCCTTCACACCTCAGTTCATACAAGGGAGAAAAACAGACTTTGAAGTTCCTACACGTGGTCTTGTCACGTTCCCTAAGCTCAGCTGAACTAATATATCTTCGTTTTACTTAGTAAACTTTCCGTTAATTTGTATCAGCCCCAGGGCACATGTCAGGGGGCTCATTTCGTGTTGAAGGAGTTCCCACTCAAGCTAAGTCTATCGTTAGTCAAGGCTTTCATGTATTCAGACTGACTTTCTTCACTGACAGCCCCAGTAGTATTTTGGTTACCTCGGTGCTTCTCTAACAGACATACCACAAATAAGAATTTATTTTCTTACAGTTTAGGAGGCTAGAAATCTGAGTTCAAAATGCTGAGCTCTTAGGGGCTGGGTAAAAGCCCCTTGACCTTGAGCTTCAGCTCTGCCTCTTGTTCCAGGCACACTGGAGCTAGAGGTGTCTCTTCATTCAGGCAGCTGCTGGCTGCTGAGGCTAACAAGCCAAGGTCGACAAATAAAATGGCACAGTCCCAATATTACCAAACAACAGGGCATGCTACTAGTTCAAGTCCAGAGCCAGTCCCAGCATAGGCAGGAAATACAGCAGGCTGCTAAATGAAGACTCGGCTACATCCAGGTCCTAACATGCCAAGAAGCTGCAGAGACCTTTTTCAATGCTGCTTATATACTGGAAGCGGACCACATCCCTAAAGCAGCTACTCAGCTGCTCCGGTAGATTCCATCATGGAGTTGATTATCAGTCTCATCATGGGGAATAACTACATCCAGCTGCCCAGCCATTCAACCGGACCCAGCCAAGTTGACACACAACTATCCCATAGAGGCATCAGAGTCTCCCCCTACCTCTGGGAATGGTGCTAGGGGGTTCATCAACTAGTAATCTGCCTTGCTATCCCTCTGTCAGACACAGTTCACCCAAATTTTGGAAGTATGAGGATTGTATTGTGTTTGAAACAGATGCATAGAAACGCAAAAAAACTCAACCATTGCCGTGGAGTCGGATGCAACCCATAGCGACCCCTCCTTGGGTTTCTGAGGCAGTATCACTACGGAAGTAGAAAGCCAGTATTTTTCAGTAGTATTGAAGTGAGAGAGTTACCGTGTAGTCTATGCCTGTGGAGATCATCTCATCTCACTGATCTCCACAGAATTTTTATAGAAGTTTGCTCTTTTTCTTAAATTACAGAAAAAAAAAAAAAAGATGTTATTTTCATATTTTTTCTCCATGGAAATCTTGTGGTTGTGGATAACCAAGTGTATATCTTGGAGTTCCTATCTTTTTTAAAAAGCACTCCCACCAAACATCTTTCTAACAGATCCAGTTTAATTTGCTGGGCTGTTAGAAGTATGTGCAGAATTTGATAAGGCAGATGTCATGAAGGGGCATAAGAGGCAATTTGGATTTTGATTGGGGAGAAATTTAGTGATAATGTTGGCCAATAGGAGTGATTTATGAGATGATGGGGGATGTAACGAGTGAGTGCATGGTCAGTGACACTTAGGATGGTAGAGGAAATACTGACACTGGATATACCATGTGTTCTCTTTATAGGCTGGTGCAAGGCATGGAATCTGCAGATGTCTCCTCTTTGTGTCCCAAGGAGCCTGGAGGTCTGTATGGTTTAGGGAAATGTGGGTGGGATGGGAAAAAGAGCTGGAAAGTTGGCCATTTGGGCCGACTTTAAAACTTAGATCCTGGGAGATATAGCAGCTGATGACCTGGGATCTTACCCTCATTAGGAATCCTCTTTTTTGGCTTTGTCTCTGTGACCACTTCTCATATCTAATATTTATCCTCATCACACCCCCAGCCTGTATTCTCACGACCTTTTGTGTCTTTGCTGTCTCTTTACAGAATACCCAGTAGTATTCGAAGTTCCAGTGGCACCAGCTGCACACGTAGTCTTGCCATGTTCCCCAAGCTCGGCATGGGCATCCTGTGTGTGGCATCAGCCTGGTGGAGTGACTGCACTCACCTCTCGGAAAGATGGGCTGGAAGTGGTGGTGACTCCAGGGGCCATGGGTGCCTATGCCTGTGAATGTCAGGAGGGTGGGAGGGCACGCGTAGTAGCGGCTTATAGTTTGGTATGGGGTAGCCGGCAGGGCCCCCAAAATAGGGCCCACACAGTGGGGGCTGGGTTGGCTGGCTTCTTCCTGGGAGTTCTTGCAGCATCCCTAACTCTTCTCCTGATTGGCCAGCATCAGCAGCGACGGCGGCAGAGGGAACTCCTGGCACGAGACAAGGTGGGCTTGGACCTGGGGGCCCCACCATCTGGAACCACAAGCTATAGCCAGGACCCTCCCTCCCCTTCTCCTGAAGATGAGCGGCTGCCCTTGGCCCTGGCCAAGAGGAGCAGTGGCTTTGGTGGCTTTCCTCCACCCTTCCTGCTTGATCCTTGCCCAAGCCCAGCTCACATTCGGCTAACTGGGGCCCCTCTAGCCACATGTGATGAGACATCAATCTAGAGCTGGGCAAATGACTCCTAGTGCATGTGTCACTGGAATGGAGTGATTAGTGACATGTGGGATCACTGGGCCTGGAAGACCATCAGGATCTCTGAGCTTTTTTTGAGTCTGAGTGATCACTTGGACTTTAGTATCTGCTCTTTCTGGGCCTACAGGCTCATGTCCAAGTCAGGCCTTTGCCTGGTTTTTTGATTCCCATGGGAGGTAAGAGCTGCTGCTGCAGCTAATTGGGCTTTTCCTAACCCTGCCCTTTGAACCCCTGTGGCTCCTTCAGCCCTGGCCCCTATTTCGGACCCATTAGTTTTGGGATTGGAACACAAGAGACAGCTAAGACTTTGGCTTCTGATTGGGCCTTGGCTAGAAGGAGAAGCGATAGAGGTGGTTGAGGATAATGTGCACTGAGTCCTCGGGTGGTTTTGTTGATTCTCCCAGTTTATCTGACTAAAGTGCATGACACCCATGCTACAACATGGGATCTCTTCCCTGAAATGTCTCCCATTCCAGTTCTTCCATGAAAGAATGTGTGTAAATACATGGGTGTTCATAGGAAGCCTGGCCACGTGTGCATGAATGGACCAGTGCTTAGGTGTATTTCTGGGGAGTTGGAAGGGAGAAGGTTGCCTGGGGTATTGGCAGGAGAACCGTTAGGCCCTGTAGCCAGCAAGAGAATTGCTTTCTTTTCTAAAAGGAACAAATCACTGCCCCACCTCCAAATGACCCCCACAACCCTTCTCTAAATGTGCGTAGAGAAAATCTCCTGAAGTGACCTTGTGGTTGGGAAGGGCAGAGGTACCTGTGACCCCATCTTTCTTTTCGGCTTTTGCCTCTTGGCTGCCACCACTGCCATGCCACAGCTGCTTTTTCTCTGGCTAGTGTGGGCTGAACCCCTTTTCCCTGACTCTCGTTAAAAATAAACTTCATGACATTCTAAATATTCATGGAAGCCAGTCATGGGAAATACAAGCAGCGCCGAGATAGGTTTATATCAGTGACTTTACTCAGGTTAACACCATTGCTCTCAAGCTCTCCACAGGGGGTCCATGGACTCCCTGAAATTGTATGCAAAATGTTGTATGAATGTGTGTATTTGTATTTTTCTGGGGGGAGGTTTTATGGTGTTCAGCAGATCCTTAAGGCTCTTAGAAATTCAAAGGACCACTGCTCCGAGGTCACTGTGCTTTGGCCAAGCTGAGATGGTACCACTCTTGGCAGCTCTTCTTGGCCCTGCTGCACCTGCCCTGTGGCTGGCCCCTGGAGTAGCAGCTGCTAGATGACCTCTTATTTCTGCTGTCTTTGGAAGCTCGGCTCTGTGTATATTTGAAGTTACTAGGTGGCACAAGGAGCTCTGGTAGCATAGTGCCTAAGGCACTTGACTGCTCACCAGAAGGCTGGCGGTTCAAACCCACTAGCCACTCCTCGGAAGGAAGGTTGGGCAATCCTACTTCCGTAGTGATACTGCCTTGGAAACCCGAGGAGGGGTCGCTATGAGTCGGGGCCGACTCGACGGCAAACAACAACAACAACAAGGTGGCACAAATGATTAAGTGCTTGACTAATAGCCCAAAGGTTGGTGGTTTGAACCCAACCAGAGGTGCTCTGGAAGACAGGCCTGGAGATCCTCTTCTGAAAGATCACAGCCTTGAAAGCCCTATGGAGCAGGTCTATTCTGCACACATGGGGTCGCTACGAGTCCAAATAGACTCAACGGCAACTAAAAGCAATGCCAACTCTCACCACACTTAAAGACCTTTTCCTGCTTCACAACTCCCAGATACTCCAAGCTGCTTCTGTTCAGTTCCAGTCTTGGCTTGTGAATGTGCCTCGTTCATTCTTGGTGAGGGACCCCTTGGACATCAGTGAACAAACCAGCCCTCCCCAGTTGAAGTTTTCAACTCCACTTTTCCTTGCAGCAGCCTGTGAACTACGCAAGAATCCCCTTAGGTTTGGAATTATCAGTGGCTTTGCCACTAGTAAGTGTGTAATCTTTGACAGGTAATCTAACCTAAGGACATCAGTTTACTCATCTGTAAAGTGGGGATACTAAGATACTAATATCTACCTCAGGGTTGCTACAAGGATTATATAAGAAAATGTAAACAATAAACAATAAAGCGCTATCTATACCAATAGAGATTGTTATTGTGTAACTGGCCTATTGTACAATAATTATCCAGCTTAATCATACAGTAACCATGACATACACAATTATTTTAGGCCTCATTCTGTGGAAGGAGGGTGCGGTGAATTGCTTGATAGGGCCTTTCTAGCCATTGTCCTCCATTCTGTGGTATATTGTAAATACTATTATCCATGCCTGTTTGGGGTGGTGTGGTAGTTAAGGTCGGGTGTCAACTTGGCTGGGCAGCTGGTAGTAGTTGTTCCTTATAATGACTGGCAGTTGGCTCTGTGGTGGGATTTGCCTTGAGCTGCTGATTGTTAAGGCGATCCACTTAGGTTATTTCTGTTGGAGCAACACAGGTGGAATGTATCTTGAGTCCTATCTTGCTGGAGGGTATAATTCAAATCACCACCCATAGCTTCCTTGAGGGTATACCTATGAATCTCCTGGGAAGGTTCGCCCTCCTCTTGCTCCCGTTCTGTGTTTTGGCTCATCCTCATCTCACCTTGGGTTTGGGACAGCAGCCGTCATCTGATCTGCTGATAGAGGTTCATCAAACCCCAAGAATTGGGAGGATCCTCCAAACCCACTCGTGGACCTGGGACTCACCAGCCTGCCAGCCTCCACCACTACTATATGAGACGATCCCTTAGATGTTTGTGAGTTCTGTGAGGCATTACAGCGAAATACAGAATCCTAAGATGGGAAATTACTGGGAGGAGGAGGAGGAGTTAATGTCTGGAATGATGGAGTGGTACGGTAGTTTGGACATTTGGGACATCTTTAACCTCTGCCTCATGGGGTCTGACCTTGTGCTGATCTTTCTGAGAGAAATTGTTCAAGAACAGGGTCATTGCCTCACACAGACATTCAGTCCTGGGCATCTCTGGACAGATCTTAGCTGTCAGTGTCTAGGTTTTGGGAGGCAAGGCCTGTGTTTTTTAATAATCCTTAGCTGTGTTGACCTTAGTGACCTGCTGGAATGGAGGAAAGCCTGTGTGCTTTCGTTTATCCTTGCTTTACTCTCTCAAAGTTTATGAGTTCATTCCACTTTCGGGGAGGAAGGGAGGCGAGGGAGATGTTAGAGGGGAATGGAATCTGGGGAGGGAGGAGAAGAGCTCTTCAAGTGGGATGGGAAGGACCAGACCACTGTGGACTGGGGGCCTTTGGTCAATGAACAGTGGCTCTGGAGGAAGATGGCATGAGGGATGTAGAAATGATGAGCAAGGATAGAAATACACATGAATAGAAGGGAGCCACATCTTAATGGTTGGAATTTCAAGCCTTAAGAATAAGTGATAGGATGGGAGCTTGAAACCAACTCTGAAAGCAACAGTGTGAATAACTTACTGTATTATCTTTGGCTGATGGTAATGTGGAAAGGGTTCATGGAAAGGGAGAGGGTTCGTGGACAAGGCAACTACAAAAGAATGCAAGATTGGAACAACCAGGCTCAGTCCCCGAACCTCCCCCCCCCCCGTTCCTGCAGGGAAGACTATTAGGAATCTGGTAGCAGAGACCTGACCTGCTTGTAGCATGTTTAATCAGCCATAAAAGGCTGATTACAAGGGCTTCACATTTGTGTTTACCTCTAGACTGAAAGGATAGCCCACCTTTTGGCCCTCACACAAATTCCCCTCTGCTTTTGGTTCTAGTTGCTGGTTCATAGCTTTCAGCTTGTCAGCCTTAACCTGTAGTTAGGTACTATCAACGTGACCATACTGAATCAGCAGAGTTAGAAAGAAACGCACACCACCATGGCTCTTGCGAGTGCAAGCCAAGCTGGGTCCAGCATGCCACTGGCCCTGACCCCAACAGGAGGCAGGCCCACTACCTTCCAGGAATCCTCAGGCCTGTACATTTCCCTAGCAGCTGCACAAGTTGACTAGTGGCCTCAGTAATGGCAGGAAAGGGCTCCTTTCTATTCCTGCTGGACGCTGACCCTCCTGGATATTCTACCCCTGTCAGCAGGGGGCCAGCCATGGCCACACCAGCTGATTTTGGTCCACTGGGCACAACAGGTTCTCTATCAAAGATGTAGGGATAAAAATTTCCTTTTTAGTTGTAGCAGAGGTAAGATTAGAATTTTAAGAGTTTTCACCAACTGAAGGAAAAACTAGTAACAAAAGCAACGAAGAAGTTTTCTTTTGCAATTCTCTCTCTGGTGGAGCCCAGGGGCAGCCTCTCTATGACATGACAATTTGTGTGGCAGACAGTGTTGTTCCCGAGCAGTCCATCTGGATTCATGTAAAACATTAAGTTCTGGTTAGGCGGTGGGGGCAAGTGACAATCCAGTTCCCTGGAGGCTTGAGGAGGCAGGGCTAGTTGGAAGGGCCAAGATAAGGAAGGAGTCAAGTTCAGAGGGATCTTTCAAGCCCTGTGAAGAATGAAGTGCAAGCCAGGAACTCTCTGTCTCTCTCTCTCTCTCTTTTTTTTTTCTTCCCTCCAAGGCTTCCCAGCCCTTAATACACTGGGCCCAGGCTTTAGGGCTATAGATGAATCCTAGACCCACTCATTGGTGGGGACAGTCCTCCTCATTTATGCCAGAGTTGGCACCCATATTTTGGACTCCAGTATTCCATAGTGCTGAACCACAAGCTAAAGGCATTCACCAACTAGTAGAGGCATGGTTGGGGCAAGAGGTGTCAGCAACTGATGATGCATCCAAGAACCAGTATCTTACCTGCAGGTTCATGCAGTCCTCTGAGTTGAGGAGGCTGGGAATAAAATCTTCCCAGGACCCAGGTTCACTCCAGAGAAGCTCTGAAAGCTGAGGGTTGAAGAGACTGATTAGACATGTTTGGTGAGAGAGACTGGGGCAGAGAACTAAGGGTGAAAGCTCAGCCCTCAGGCCTTCATTTGGGATACTTACTGTCTGTCAGGAAGTTGTTCTAAACAGCCACAGGCAGATTCATCTGAATTCTCCCCTGAAAGTCCCAAAATGTAAAGACTTGACAACCATCATCAGCACTCTCCTTTCAAGACACATTTAAATGTGCATGATAGATAAGGTTCTCTTCCTTCCTCCACAAGGACAGCAGCTCTTCCCTGAGCTGAGGAAGGGGTGAGTGTTTTAGTCTCTGAGTGATGAAGACCTGTGCCCTGCTGCCACACAGCTTCTGCAGAAAGGGTAGAACCTCAGGTGGGAGAGGGCATGGACATTGGAGACATGTCCTTGAGGATTGTGGGGAAATGACCCCATGCTTTGGTGTGAAAGAATGGAGCTGCCTACCTTTGTCTTTGTAGGCTTGGATGATAAGCTTTTTACTAGTAATCAAGCTGTTCTTATGACATTTACTAGGAGCTACATGAGCCCTTAGATTCGTGTTCAAGTCTAGGAAGAGGTATGACCATCCCCAAGAGGGCTGAGAGAGAACATCTCTCCAGATGAGTGGGAGCTCAGTACCAGGTTGCTTTGATGTATAGA